TCCGCAAAGAATAAATGAGAGATACCTAGAGCATTAGGACTGAGATGGATGGGATCCCAGTTGTGGATATCTACTTGATGTGAAATTAAGCGTGAAAATATTTCCATGCATAGGATGAATATATAAGGGGATAGGGGGCATCCTTGTCTAATGCCCCTACTTGGATTAAAAAAGGAAGTAGTTGATCCATTAACTAGAATGGCAATGTTACTAGTAGTTATACAATGAATAATTAGTTTGGATATAGAGGGTGGAAAATTGAAGAATCTGAGCATACGATAGATGAATGACCATTCAAGACGATCAAAGGCTTTTTCTAAATCAAGCTTAAGCATCATGTTATACTTTTTGCCTTTGCTCTTCTTGAACTGGTTCATGATTTCTTGGACAATTATTGCATTGTCACTGGTTCTTCTTCCTTTGATAAAGCTTGATTGAAAGGGGATGATCAGATCATTTAGGAAGGGATTCAATCTATTTGCAATTATTTTAGTAATAATTTTGTAGATCGTATTGCAAATACCAATATGCCGATTTTTTTAAGTTATTAGCATTGTCAATTTTTGGAATTAGGCAGATGTACGTATTGTTAGTGCCCATTGGAAGAATGTTAGTGCGAAAAACTTGGAGACAGAGTTGTGTAACTGAAGGACCTACTGTTTTCCAATATTTTTGATAAAAAAAGGGTGAATTCCATCTGGCCCAGGAGCCTTGAAAGGTTTGAACGAAAATATGGCTTTGATTATCTCATAGGGCATTAGAGGGTTGTCAAGTGAGTCTAAATTCACTTTGCTAAAGCTAGTCGGGCTGTTAGTAATGTCAAGCCAGTTGGTGTGTTGGTGAGAGATGGTGAAAGCTGTGAGAAAATATTGATAGGTGTGATTAAGGATTTCTGTTAGTTCATTAATCCAATCACCTGCCTCATTTTTTAAGTGAGTAATTTTATTCCTCCTTTTTTATTAGTGGCCATGATATGGAAAAATTTAGTGTTGGCATCTCCATCTTGAATCCATGATATTATAGCTTTTAATTTCCAATAGTCATCTTCTATTTTCAGGTAGTTGTTATACTCAGATTGCAATTGTCTTTCGAGATTTTGGAGAAAGTTACTGTGAGGGAAGTGTTTTTGGAATTTTGAATTCCATTAAGTCTAGCCAAAATTCTTTTTTTCTTCCTAAATATGACTCCAAAAACTTTATTTTTCCAATCCTTAACATTATTTAGAAAGGAGTTAGATGCTTGTTGATAATTGGTACCTATCCATGAATTGGTGACTAATTTGTTGAAATCAAGGTGCCTGCACCAAAATGTTTCAAGTCTAAAAGGCTTTTGAAGAGCCAAGTTATATTTTGGAATTATTTCAAAGAGAGGATTATGATCCGAGTGGACTTTGGGGAGGTGGGATACAGTAGTGTTAGAGAACCAATTAATCCAATCACTATTAGCAAATATTTTGTCTAGTCTTTCCATAGTTAGACTATTTTTTCCTACGGTTGGTCCAGGTATACTTGCACCCCTTATAACCAAGGTCTAAGAGGCCACATTTATTGATGCAATTCCAAAGATAATTGGCCCGGTTTCTGTTAATAAAATTTCCACCAAAATTTTCATTAGAGCTTAGAACATCATTAAAATCACCCCCTACCAACCATGGTCCATTAAAAGAATTATACATGTTGATGAGATTGTCCCATAAAAGATTTCTACTATTAATATTAGTACTATCATAGACAGAAGTAAATAACCAAGATTTATGGGTGGGGATTACCTCAATTGTTGCACCGATTTCTTGATTTCTACGCATGAAACTGTGAACATTAACTAGAGTGTAATCCCATAAGATAACCATACCACCCGATTGACCTTGAGCCGGAATTTCAATCATGTTAGAAAACCCAAAGGGGTTAAGAAGCAGCATATGATTGTCCATTCTAGTTTCCAAAAGAGTTACCATGCAGGGATGGTGAGTATTGACCAACTCTCTAAAGTTTAACCTAAAGTTATCATTGTTACCACCTCTAATGTTCCATATGATGAAGTTGATAGGTTTATTCATCATGATGTTCCAGTTGTGAACTCTATTCTCCAGCACTCTTGGTGCATGAATTGGATTCCTTCTCTGAACCAAAATCATTGCATGCTGCCCTATGGTCGGATATGCCGGTGGCCTTATATCCATTGTACACTTGTAGAGAGCCATTAGACACTTGAGAATCTGCCTCTGCTCTTGCATCTCCATGAAAATGAACACCTTTACCTCGTCGAGATTTGAATCCTTGAGTATTGGTTCTGGGATTGAGTTGGGTTCCACAACTTCCCCCATTGTTTCTGTGTGAGGAATGTTTTGTGGTATGTTTGGGTGAGTTTGCGGGTGAGATGGTCCCGGTTGGTGGAACTGGGGTGCATGCTGAGCATTTGGAGTTTGACCCTAGTTTGCATATGCATCCCAGGGTGTGAAAACTGGATTGATGTTGGTCATCACCTCCGGAGTGAAGAATGGAAGATCCATAATTGGGTTTGCATTTTGTACTGGGAAAAAATATGGAGAAGACTCCACTGACCCATCATCATTTGAGCTATGTTGGGTGATATATTTGGGGCTATTGGGTGAAGAATGTTGTTCACCCATACATGGTTCATGAAGTTGTTCATTGCCATCCGGATCCCTTCCGAGATTAGCTGAGCTAGATAATGGGAGTTTTGAATCACTATTATTGTCTCCCTGCCATTCAACATTATGTTGAAGGATATTGCAAAGCCCATTAGACTCAATTCCACCTATGACAGAGGTTGGCGATTCTCTGAAAGTGGAGGTTGGATGAATATGGTGGGAGTGTTTGTTGTTGGAGTGTAGGTGGGAGGTTGATTTTCCATAGTCAGAGGCATTTGTTGGCATAGGATCTGTATGAGACGATAGCGCCTACTGCTGGGAAAAGGAATTCTTAGCATATTTTGTTGGAGGGTTAAGGCTTATATGCTGTGTTTGGACTGTATCAGGTCCTTTTGGATGTAGAGTATCTTTGCCAATGATTGTATGTTCGATTTGCATGACTTTTGGAAGGAGTAACGTACTGGTTTTATCAAGTGAGGAAGAGGATTGGGCTTGGTTTACGTGTTTGAGGGTATTGGCCATTTGGAGGATGGTTGTTTGTTTTTCAGAAAGGTGTGTAATTTCATTAGTGGCATGCAAGGTTAAATTATTAGAATTTATAGGTTGAATTGGGGAGGTGGTCGGGTTAGTGCATATATTATAATTATTAGTAGGAGCATTAATGATGATGTACGATACGTGTCCTAATGATGTGTCATTAATAAGGGAGGTATTGGTTCTTTGTTTGTTTCCTGTTTCATCCTCCGATGGGTGGTTTGTGGTTTTACCCAAAACCATGTTCTGTTCCATTAGAGCAGTAAAAAGATTATTTGTTTGAATATTGTTACTACAGATTGAATGGGGTTCTTTTGTCATATATTTTCCAGTAGCAAATTCAGTAGATTTATTGTAATTAGAGCCTGATTTGTATTAAAGACTTGGGAAGTGAAGAACTTACCTGTGTTGGCATAAAAATATTTACATTGATACCTGCAGCTTTCGTTGATTCTGTGCCTCTGTTGGAAGCAGTAGGGATCTTCTTTTTTTTTGATTGAAAGTAACTGTCTTCCATTTTTCCTTCTCTTTGGGAAGATATTCTTGTTCCTGACCTCTCTGTTTCGTTTCGCCATTGTTCATGGGTGCTGAGGTTGCTGGACCATATGGCTTGATATTGCACTGTCTAGATGTATGCCCTAGACAGCCACAGTTTTTGCATAGGAGATTTTTTCCTTCGTAGAGGATCTGTTATTTGTGGTTGCCTATCCATACATTGGATTTCACTAATTTATCTAGAGGAAGTTCTACACATATCCTAGCATAGCGACCCTTTAAGGCTGATGATGTGCAAGCATCCACTTTGAGTAATCTTCCTACTGTGTTACCTATTTTTTTTAGAATTTCTTCATCGTAAAATTCTGTTGGAAGATGTGGTAACCGGATCCATATTGCAGTTAAAACTTGTTTGGCAGTAGCGGGAACAAAATTTGGTTCCCAGCGTTGTACTAAAAGGAAGTGGCCAAAGATAAACCATGGCCCTTTTTGTAATACAGTCTCCAAGTTCTCTTTATTATTGAATTTTACTATAAAATACTATTCACCAAGATCTATTAGGGGGAAAACTTCAGTTGATTTCTAGAGATCTATAAGTTTGTGTTTGAGAACTTGGTGGAGGATTTTTTTACCTAGTAGTTTTATTATAACTGAGAATCTCCATGGATAGTAAATACGTGATTTATCTTCCCCACTTATGGGAACTTTAATTTCCCCATAAGGATTCTCAGAAGACTTTTCATCTTCTTCCTCGTTTGTGTCCCCTGCCATTGGAGATAGGTATGTCGGTGGCGATAACATTGAGAAGGTTTCCTTCTGCTTATTGGCTAGTAGTTTGTCTTTAAAAGAGGCAAATATAGTATTGTTTAATTGAGGGGAATTAATGTCTGATGGCTTTGGAGGTATTCCACTTTGGCAGTGTTGTTGATTCATTAGAGTTGTAGGAATGTATGTTTTGAAAAAGTATAGGTAAGAACGGATCCTAGTGAGAAGGGAGAACTTCTCTCTAATTTTTGTTGAAACATATACTTAATATGACTTATAAATGGCTCTTCATTTTTTCATTTTCACAGGCTAATATTTATTAACTCATGTATCCTTTTTAAACAACAATTCCAAAAATTAAACAAGACATATACTAATTGTTTAAGTTTCATATTAAGCTTTTCATCTATTTTTAATGTGAGTTACTATTATTATATTTACATAATTTCGGTAAATCTAATAGAAAGAGTTTGTTAAATATTTGATAGAGACTAAAACTGCTCTCTTTTGATAAAATTAAAGGACCAAACTGATGAGAACGTATTTAAAGGACTACTTTGAATCTACTCTAAATATAAGGGACCATTTTTCTCATTTTGTCTCCTCTTCTCCCCCATTTTCTGTTCTAGTCTTTTGTTGCTTTTCAGAGGTAAAACCCTAACAGGAAAAGGTGCTATGAGCTCATCTTTGTTCTGAATTCTTCTTTGAGCCCTTAGGAAAAGAGACCTCTGCAGAAAATGGTAATGAATCTTTTTGTGTTTTTGAAAGATATTAACTTTTTTTTTTATAGAAAAAGATTAAAATTTTAATCTCTGCCTGTTTTACTCATACTTATCTACTTAGCTAGAATTGCTAAGTAATCGTCCGATTTGCTTACTAATTTCATATGATTCTCGATTTGGGTTATCTTTCGTAAGATGATTTGTAGTTTTTCATGTATCTGTGATTTTTTTGCTAGTTGTGTTGATAAAGTTTGAAACTTTGCTTTTTTCTCTATCCAAAATTCGGTTTTTATCTGTGAGCTTGGATTAAATTATTGCTTTGGGTGTTCAATGCTGCCTAAGCATCTTTTATTTTTCATATTCATTTCTGCCGACTCCAACTAGCTTAGGATTGAGGAGCAGTTTATTGTTGTTTACTCCCTTTACTCCCAAGTTCTCCCCTTTTTGCTGTTGTATGTCTACAAAATCTATGTTTTGTAATTTTTTAATCTCTAGTATTGCTCCCAAACCCAAGGAACAGAGATTTGAAATTTCTCAAAGTGTCATGTTTCAGTTAGGTTTGGTTTAGATAATAATTTCCTTTTCTATTTGAGATAACTCTTTTCCAGTCTTGATGGTGGAGTGATAAGGGCGCCCTAACCCGATTTGAATAGGCAAAGTTCCCAGAGTGGGGGTGGTTTTTGAGGGAGTGGAGAAAGGCTCTTGATGTTTCAACAAGGGTCTTGAGGTGGGATAGCATCATTTTGAGCCCATTTGTGTTCATATAGTATCTTCCTATTTGTTGTTGGATGTGTGTTTTCCCTTTTGTTGTAAGTTGTAGGTGCTTCACTTGCATCCTTTGCAAGATACTTTCTATTTGTTGTTAAACTTGTTTTACTTAGTCTGTGATTTGTCCTTTGAAACAATGGTTCAAAGACGTGTTTCACATTCTAATGTTTAGTTTCCCTTAATTCTTTTACTCACTTTCACGTAGTTCTGCATTCTTTTCTGTCTCCCTTCAGTTTCATTTTTTCAATACCTTATCCCTAAGTATTTTGCCTCATCTATGTGTCAAATCTATTACATGAATTTTAAGCAGTAATAGCCCAAGTGCTTTGGTCTGGTGGTAAACGCGCAATTCGTGATGTGTGGGTTAAGCTCACATCACGAGTTTGCACCTTGCGACATGCAAAAGTCTGGTATTTAAGTGGAGAAGGGTAAAGGGAGATGCCCATTATCCCCTGAGCTTCAAACAGTTCGCCAACTGGTTCTCACGAATTTCTCAATTATCAAGAAAAAATTAAGCAGTAGTAATTGTGTAAACAGGCTGCTTTTCAATACAACGGTTATTTTCTAGTATGATTGAGATCATACTTATTTCCAAACTGTGCATACAGACCACACCATTGATAGTGGGACTGTCTGTTGCTGCTGCTGCATATGCTGGAAGGTATGGCATCCAAGCTTGGCAAGCATTCAAGGCCAGACCACCCACTGCAAGAATGCGTAAATTTTATGAAGGAGGTTTTCAGCCTAAAATGACAAGGAGGGAAGCAGCTCTTATTCTCGGAGTAAGGTATGTTCTATCATTCTTTTAAAGGCTTGGTGGGATTTCCAACACCTAATGTGCAAAATCATCTCCGTGAAGGCCTCCTATTTTTCAATCACAGAACTTGATTGTGCAGTATGCGCATTTTAATCTGACATGCCCCCAGGGTTTTGGGTCTAGTGGCAAGAGCGTAGCTTATGATGTATGGCTAAGGCACGCATCATGGGTTTGAACCTTGCCGTAGACAAAAGCCTTGGTATTTAAGTGGAGAAGGGTAGAGGGGCAGACCCATTATCCACCAAGTTTAGAACCGTGGGCCACTCTCCCTTGGGGATTTCTCAGTTATTTAAAAAAAGATTAATCAGATTGCTCTGTGGCACTGTCAATATCCTATACCTTAATTGTATCAATATTGCTGTGACTTAAGCAATGACCTAAAATTGTATGATGAAACCTTTCTTAAAGTATGTTCGATATTCTTTATCTTTGGAATTTCTTTAAGTTAACAAAAGGTAGTTGTCAGCTTACATGTATTCCTTCATTTTGTTTCCATGTCTTATTCAGGAAGTATTTCCCACGCTTAATCATAGAATACATTATAAATCAAAAAAAAAAAAAAAAATTGCAAATCTGAAATGCTCATTATTTGCATAGATGGGGAGATTGCTTATGGTTGTTTTAATGGTACTGCATTAATGTATATCCACAATAATGTTATTGCAGCTACAAGAAATAACATTGTAATGACTATATACATTATTAAGGTAGTGTCAATGTGCCCCTTGATAAAGGATGCAGATATATGGTGAAATAAGTTTTCCATGGTAGATTTGAACATTTAACAATTTCTTGTTGCACATTGATATTGACCACTCTATTCGTTCTAACATAACTTAATTAATCTCAGAATAATGACTATTTATATTAACAAGAGAAACATCTACATATGTCCCTTACTAGGGAAGCAAAATAGAAGCGATGCAAATATTGATGAAAAATGAGTTTTCTTTTCTGGATTTTGGAGATTTGTTATTTTTTTGCACAATCATATTTACTAGGGAAGCATTATATCACGATGAGATTCAGCTAGTACTTCGTTATGGATGATGAGGAGATGGTTTGAGACATGAGATGGGTAATTTTTGCTTTCAAATCAAAATGTCGCTTTTAGCAGAATATATGGGCAAATAACATATGTGATTTGTTTCTTATTATCCCTCGGGTTTCATTTCCGGACTTTTGGTCTAATATGCTTTGTCGCCTATCTCTCCCCCTCCCCCTTTTAGGCTTGTGGTTTGGTTGATTGTAATAATTATACTCCATACTTGTTAAAGTGGAGAAAAGTATTATCAATTCTTTTTCCACTAAGTATGTGCACATTCAACAGGGAAAGCACGCCACCAGAGAAAGTGAGGGAGGCACATAGGAAAGTGATGGTAGCCAACCATCCAGATGCAGGGGGCAGTCACTACCTTGCTTCAAAAATTAATGAAGCAAAAGACATATTGACTGGAAAGACTAAGAACAGCGGATCTGCATTTTAATCTCAGCCGAGTCTCCTTGTTGCTTTAGAAGTTCCAAATCACAAGGTAATCGGGAGGTGTATCATGCTTTCTGGCACTAGACACTAAAATTTTGAGTGGAAGTGGATTAATTCTTTGGACCAAGAAGCTGTATATTTAGTTGGAGAAGGCTTTGTCAGTTGTACGCTTTCACTGAATGTGAAGAAGCTTAATATGGAGTATTAAGCTAATATGTACTTTACTAATTGATGACACAGATTCATGGCTGAAGTTTGTTTCTTCTTTGTTAGGATGCTGGAAACAAGCGATATGTGCTGAATAATCAGATTATTATTATACAACCCTGATAGTTCTGAATTAGTTCCATTATCTTTACAATTGCTTTTGACAACCAGAGTGTCCTGTAATATAATCGCCGAAGGTCTATTGGAAACAACCTCTCTATCTCCATGAGGTAGGGGTAAGGTCTGCTTACACACTATCTTTCCTAGACCCCACTACGTGAGATTACACTGGGTTTGTTGTTGTTGTATTCCTGCTTTTTGAACCAACTCTAGTGGTTGCATGACATCTTAAGATAAGGGGGAAGGGTCAAATTTGCAGCTACACTATTTGAAATTAAGTAATTTTGCCTATTAGACTTTTGATTACCATATTTATATAAAAGTTTCATTTTTATCCTTGACCCGTTATGCAAGCACTAACATGAAAGTAATTTTAAATCATTGTCTAAAATTGAGGAGTAAATTTTGAACCTTTTTCCTAAAAGAATTTGGACCAGCTGCATGCTGCAGTTCCCTTAAATCTTAATGACAAGGACACACAAGATGATTTGCTTAAGGCAAGGGCATAAATGGACCAAAAATAAAATAGAGGATAAAATTGAGCAATTTTAAATGTTATTGGGCAGAATCGAAACTTTTCCTGTTAGATAATGACTGTTCATTCGCTTGACGGTTCCTCTGAAGTCTTAGTCAAATTAAGAGCTCTCATGTGTGGAAATATGTGGACCAAAAGTGCACAACTGTTTTAATTGAAGATTGAACATGTTTAGTTTGAAATTACAAGGACTAAAATTAAAATTTGCTAAAAAGGGAATAAGAAATGCAATTATCCCTTTAACCCTCGCACAACTTCCTTAACAGTAATCCATTTTGTTTCGTAGGAAATCCTTTACTCTAGCACTCCTATTGTATGTGTTAGCATTATCATNCCCCTCCCCCCAAAAAAAGAAAAAAAAAGAAAAAAGAAAAACCAACAAAAATCTGTGGTTTAAGTCTAAACAACCAACTGACAGTGAAAGACAACTTAATTAAACAACATATACAATTGGCACATGCATGTGTATTTTATGTATTTAATTAAAGAAAATAGTTGTTCAAACTAATAAAACCACAAAAAGGTATACGATATGCCTGAAGAAAGATTATCCCATTTTTACCAACTAAGCTTTACTAAGATATCACAATTTCCAGGATAAATTAGGTAGGATGTATACATGCAGACACTGAAATATAAAAAAAGGGCATCATGGTATATAAAGTATTCTGTGTTTACGCAAGGTTTGTGGAAGGCCGCACCCTAAAGGAGTGTAATGTAGGCCGCTGATTCCACGATTCGAACTTGTGACCTATAGGTCACACATATACTGAAATATTGCTATATTAAAATCAGTATCAAAATAGTTTTTACGCATTCGATATTTAAAAAAATTGTATTAATTTATCATACTTAATGTTATGGGCGGCTTTCCAGCCATGCGCCATGACCCCTTGGACGCGCCCCATAGCGTCCTGGCAAGTCTTCAGACGCCTAGCGTCATGGACGGCCCCGTAGTCTTGGTCGCGCCAAGTGACAAACGCGCCTGTGCCTATGTCACCCCACTAATAGCCCTCACCGGCGTACAGTCGCAGGCAGATGCCAACAACACCGCGCGCACAGACTCTGATGCTAAAGACAAAGTTGCTGCCAACGGACCTGCTTATGCTTTGTAGGAATCTAAGTCATTTCTATTGTAAATATAGAGTAGTTTTACTTCATGTATTTCCATTATGTCTCTCTAGCTTAATTATGTTAAATCCTGTAACTTTGATTTATCTTTTTAAGTACTATTGGAGGGATCAAGCAATCAAACTTTCTAGTAAGCAAATAATTCTATGTACCAGTCTCTCCCTCTCGACACCGTATTGTTTTTCTGTAATAGCTTTCATTAATGCAATCAAGCTTTCTTTCATTCTCAATTCTCATTTATGTTTTCTCAATTGCTCTTGACATTGGTTTTTGCATACTGCACTGACAATCTCGTCTAGCGTACGGAGGGGACATCAGTTGAGCCTTACGTCGCCCTTTCAAGGAATGTCAGGAAGGCATCGCATAACATTAAGTGCGATAAAATGAGGTAAAAAGGTATTTATTATAATTAAGTGGTAAAATTTTTATGCAAATACATGCAATGCATTTGTTAGTTTGACATAATTAATAGGTAACTACAATACCTTAAATCAAAGGGAAAAGCCCTGAAGAATCTTTTGCCAGGCGAATGCCAAAACCAGACAGCTCTATACTTTCTTGCACACATGCAAATGCCTAGCTACTACTTATATTGTTTTGATTTCGACAGTCATTTTGCAAAATGTTAGGTTGTTTGGCCTAGAAGTAACATCACTTATCAGGTTGTCCCCTTTAACAATTATTTCGATTTGTCTTTTGTATATATTATTATACCATGTCACATTTCAGGGTCCAAATCATGGGCGAAGTCACCTTGAGCAAAGGGTGGTAATATTGATCACTTTTGTCTTAATCTTAATAAAAAAAAGGAATCAAGCGTCTTGGATTCAAATATTCAAACAGTCTTTCTTGCTATCGAAATCTAAAAAAAAATATATATGGAAATAAATTGCGTCCAATAGGATTTGAACCCAACTGATCACCCTTCGCCGAAAAATTACGAAAAATTACATTGTGTATATAAGTAAAATATTAATTTTAGATATATAAAATCTATATTGAACACCTTTTGTTGGAATTTTTTTTCTACTTCTTTCAAGTTTGAATGCTCTTAGAAACATTTGTGACTTCGTCACTGGTCCAAATCATTAACTGGCAAAAATTGTTTGGGGGAGGTGCGTGGATAAGTCCTTTGTTTTCTATTGTTATTCAAATAGATGACCTTTTTAAAGAATTAAAAATTATAGTTTTTTCAATTTGTCCTTATTACTTCAATTAGTAGTATTAATTAAGTGAGACAGTGAAAGTGAAAAGAGAAACAAAATATTCACTTGCTAGTTGCGGCTTTCTTAAAAGTTGATACTTGACTTAAACTTAAGGTGAAGTACAATGTATTTTCAACAAATCTGAATAATAGACTTCATAAATTTGGTTAATGAATTAAAGAAAAGGAAAATCCTTTTCTTAAAACTTTGATAACTAACTGACAATGAAGCATAATTTATTTAAGAAGATACAAGTTAGATACATGCATATTTTAAATATTTAATTAAAGGAAAAAGTTGTTCAGAACTAACAAAGAAAGTCCTTTTTCAACAAACACGACTCTAGATAACACAAATTAAGCTAAATACAGACCTTGGAATGAACTCTATATATAAACAAGTACAATCCCCTCTTCGCCAACTCTTTATCTTTGTTGGGAGCTATGGTACCTTAGAATCAAAGAGACAACTCTAAGAATATTTTGCCACGTAGCAAAATTCCAAAACCAAACAGCTCTAGTCTTCTTGCACACATGACAGATGCGAATAAATTAAATTACATTTTTTTGAGTCAACAATTCATTTTTCAAAATGGTAGTTAATTAGTTTGAATAGGAACCTTGGAGCAACAGTAAATGGTCTTCGTATGATTTATATGTCACGAGTTCGATCGAGCTGTGAAAGCAATCATTAATTTTTGCATTAACGTAGGTTATCCATATCATTATACCTCTTGGGTTGTGGCTCTTCCCCTGAGTCTACGTGAGTGCGAAATATTTTTTGCCCCCTTTTAGTTAACTAACTTTAGGGTACGCGTTTTGTGCGTGCACCCTATATCAATAAGTATAATTTTTTTAAAAATTATATAAATATTATTAAAATATGTATAGTTGACGTGCAATTGGTAAGTGTCATTTAGAAATTATTTCTAAAATTTAATGTTGAGTTAAAAAATATAATAGTTATGGATATTGGGATAACTTTTTCTAATTATAATATTTATTAGAATGCGTATTTATATTTTGGTAATAAATTTTATAGAAGGATGGTTTGATTAAAAGGTAATGGACGTACTATTGTCTACTTAAATAATCAAATACTTTTCACGATGGTGCCCCGAACTAGGAAACCAATCGAGAGCGTCAAGACCGCCGAACCGAAGACCTTGCCTCGTGGTGAGGAAACTCCGAAGAAAGACTTGGGCAAAGCCCCCCAGTCCCCTGAGATCGAGATTATTCCCCTCCTCGATAAGTACACCAGAGGGGGCAGATACCGAGAATTCCGAAACTAATCAGAGCACCCTGAACAACGAGCTCGGGGCCATGACAATAGGTCACTCCCCTCCTCTGCCATCTTATTCTGAGGAGGCAATAAAAGATGCTCGAACTCTGTGTACGCCTGATCCGAGCAAGGTCCTCAAAGACGATCCTTTTCAGGATTGTTTTATTGGGGTCGATGATGCTGCCGACCTCAATGATGCATCTACCCTCTTTGAAGAGGCTCATCGTCTCTTCTCTCGGGTAAGCACTAATTTTTGTTGCTGCAAAAAATTCTTTGTTTTCTTCTCCTTCCGTGTTAAATGACATCTATTTGTTTTTTGTGTAGGCCATTACCAAGTTCAAGGCCGAGTTGATCCAATGTGAGGCCGAGCTCAAGAAGTCTTCGGACGAAGAGAAGGTCCTGAGGCTCCTTTGCGGCCAAAAGGAGGAGGAGATCAAGGACCTTCCGGCTGAACTAGCCAAAGCCCGTAAAAACGAGGCCGAACTAGACAAGCAGGTAGCCATGATTTTGAAAGAGTATGGTCTTCTTGACCTTACTGTGGAGGCTAACACTTCACTGTATTAGCTGCAGTAGAAATTAGAGTTGATCGGGCAGCTTTGAGGCAAGGTTGATTAGGTTAAGGCCGACTGCAACCGATGGAAGGAGAACATGGATCGGCTTGCTGCTGATAAAGAGGTTGCTCTAGCCCAACTGGCCTCGGTTGAGACCCAACTCTGGGGTATTAAAGTGAAAAATATGGCTCAGGCCAAGAAGATCGAGGAGCTCGAGGTCAAACTCGTTGAAGTCGGGGCTGAGGTTGCTGAAGCCAGGGCCGAAGTGGAGAGGACGAAGGCCACAACTGATAAAACCATCGCCGTGTACTTA